ATTCTGGATTTAAGTATTTCAATTAAATTTAAATTAAATTTAAATACTTACTTACTTGAAAGTAGCCACTTGATAGTTGTGGCAATTAAAAAAAAAAAAAAAAAGTTCTGCATCCCCACAGCCAGACAACAGGTAAACAAAACAAAAAAAGGGGATATTTCAGCATCACAGTTCTCCACAGCTATCCTTCTCTGTTTAACAGACTTGACAAAAATAACATATGCCACAGAATTTTTAGGTAGATACTAGACTCTAGACTGCCAGCTATTTAAAACAAATCTGCTTATCAAGAATGATCCAATATTTACCTCTCATTTATTCTTGGAAGAAATCTGAAAATGACTCAACAGACTTCCAATAATGAATATGCATTACTTTCTCTCCTCTTAAACAACATGGGAGGCAACTACAGCAGTATTTGCCCTTGAGCATCAATGAAACAACAGAGAAGATAATCCCAGTTTTGATCTGCTGACGAAGCAGATGATATAAGCAAGAATGAGCTATAAGTGGTCATCTCATTTGAAAGAACCTGATACAGCTTTATTTGTTTGGTTTTTTCCTCTTGTCATGAGCTTGCTGTTTAATTCCTTTTTTACTTTACACATCAACAGCTCCTAAGAACACTTTAGTTTTCCAAATTTATGCGATGCAAGCAGTTACAATACAGGGAAATAATTGGTCTGAAGCACTTACCTCTACCATCAAATGAAGAGGGAATTAAGCTGGCTACTGTTTCATCTAAATTTTTTGATGAAGCTTTGCCTTCCGCAGAAGTATCTTCCTGTAAAATAGACAGTCAAGTATCATAAAAGTAGGAATAAAATCACTGACCTAAACAGAACTAAACATAAAAAACCCCATAAATTAAAAAATCCTCAACCTGTGCACAGATAAATGTGTGGGGAATTTTGTAGCCTGACTTTTTTTGTTGCTTTTCTTAGTGGGACCATCATTCCGACTCTACAGCATTACAAAATATAAGCAGATGCCTCTCCACTGCTGTACAAGCAAGATGATGCCTTCTTACATTTTACAAAAGCATCCAAACAATGATTCTAAGAATGAACAAGAAAAAATTTTAATGTTCCAAGTACATTAAAAACAAAGTCCATCATCAAACTCAAACAAGCAATGAAAAAAGAAACTCAAGTGAAAGCAGAAAGGTCTTTTTTTCCCACCACAGTCAGTTTTCCACTGACAGGCACTGGAAACATTATGCTGTTTGGATCCTTCAAAATTATTAATCTTTAATCACTGTTGAAAACTCTGATTCAATATACGTGACATGCTGTTGAATGTGTCAGTATTGTATTTACTAACAAAGAGGGAACCAAAAAAATCAAGAAGAAGAATAAAGTTAAATGCTTACATCTTAATATTTTTTCCTCCTCCTGGAATTCAGTTTCTTATTTTTATCCTTTAGCACAAAGCAATTAAGTACAATATTCCAGACTTTTGTTTTTTAACCTGTTAAAACTATTGGATAAGTGACTGCTTACCTATTATTTCCAGGTGCGAGAGAAAACAAGAAGCTGGTGAGACACCTCAGGAACATATGTGCTCTGTATAGGCAAGCTAGAAGTCTAGACCATAGCTGTACCAATCTAAGTTCTAACAGTACTTGGCCTTCCCCTATCTACTGGCAGCACAGACAAGGAAAGAATAGTGAGAAAAGGTGAAAGAGGAGACAGCAAGCACTGACACCACCATCTACAAAAAGAACCTCTGGCTATGAAACTTCTTGCTTGCAAGGTACTTAAACAGGTCTTAAACTACCATACTAAATGCAAAATACTTGCATTTAGAAATGCTTGAACTTTATACAAGTTTTATTTTTATGAGTTCTGCAACATGAAAGCATCAGCTAACCTCTGTGTTCAACAAAAGAGACACCTGTGGTTGACTAAGGCACGTAATGTTACTTTCCGCTGAACATATTGGTCCAATTTTATGCTGTACATTCAATATCTCACTGCTTCCCAAACCCTGTGACTTGCGGAAATCCAGAATGGTAGCTTCAAATGTGGGTACAGGAAGAGACTCTGGTTTTGGAGTTTGAGTTGACTTCTTGTTTGTAGTTTTATTGAACCTGTCTGAATAAAGCATGTAAAATCTAAATAATTAAACTTGCTTGTGATCATTTCTAGGTATGTTTTATAGTACATTAGTTGACATAACAACAGTAATCGTCACAAGAACTACTGCTACACATAGCTCATATTAAAAAAACAACCTAGCAATTATAACCAACGTGTATACACAACACTGACTCAACAAGCGACTGCAAATTCAGATGGTTGCTTAGGAAATTTTTCATATCAGTTTACATGGATTTGTTTGATCAGCAAAAAGACATTAAGTCATCATTCCTTGTCAAAAAGTCACACAGGAAAGAAATCCTGTTCCTTAATTATTCTGGATTTAGAAACATGGTCACAAACTGGAGGCTATAGCACAGTCAACCATTTTACGTCTATTCGATGTATTTCTAACCAAACAACACATTTGTACCTGGCTTCACGGAATCTCTGCTGCATGCGGAGGTCTGGAATGAAGTCCTGTTCACAATTCTGACAGAAGAGTCATCTCCATCATGCCTTTTCTTGTCTAATTTTTTCTCACCCTCTTTTGATCTCCTCTGCTGCAAGCATTTGTGACATATTTAGTTGATTTTACTTGAACTTTGTAAAATCATCAAGTTTGCCTTGAGTTACAGTTAACTACCTCTGCATCTGGAGCTTGACCATCAAGTTAATACAACGTAAACAGTTGGTATACCATAACCACAAATAACCAATAAAACCAGGAACAGCCAGTTAGAGATTTGTTATTTAATTTTAACTACCTTGTCAACTGTGCTATTTTTAGCACATATTATAGCCCAACTAAGAGGGATTATTCCATATGTTTCTAGACAACTGTACTTTTAAGATCTCAGAGCATTTCCAATGGTTTGGTCTTAAATCATCCAGTCTGATTTTCTAAAACTGAGTTTCTTCTAGAACAGGGCTAAAATCTTAAAAGCATTCCAATTTTTTGACCAAACTACGTATTATGGGCAAAACTAGGCCAGACTGATGTCACAACATGCAAAACACTTGGAACAGACAGAAAGTAATTCGAAAAGGTACACCTATATGATCCCAGTAAAGGAAACACATTCATCTATACTGTAAAGTCCTGACAGCCTTGCGATTCTCACAAGAAACATAGTTTGGCAGCTCTGGGCTCAGGAATCAGTACGGCAGGCAAGGAACAAGCACTAGGCTTGCATCTATGTAAAGTATACTGTATCAGCCTGGATGAGTGGCTTAACTCTTTCTGATTACAGGATGCTGGACTAAATTCAAAGTACATCTGGCAGCAACATTATCTTCTTGGGTGGTAGTACAAGGCATTTCCTGACCTCCAAAGATAAATTGTTAAAGCTTCAAGAGATCTGATCAAATTAATGCAAAGCTGCAAATATCAATCATTTCTCTTCAAGCTCACAAAAAAATAAATGACAGGGAACAATGACAAAAAGACTGTCAAACAGTACACAGCCCAATAAAGATCACAAAACTCCTCCTGGAAGCTAAACTAAGTTTCTTCATATTACATCACCTGTGCTAACACTGAACTAATAATCTCCCCAGACAGCGTCACTGTTTAATTTTTCTCTCAGCAAGAAAACTACTAATTTTAGGTCTCTAGCCTTTGTCTCTTATGTCTAGTAACGCATGCTTAGGACCTAATCTTACAAATTCCTCTACACAGGCTTGACCACAGTGAAGTTACCAGGTCTCTGCCTAGGGAGTAAGGTCTACCAGAAGGATGTGACTGGAGAACCGATTACTTGAACCTGCTGGAAACAGCAACAGCCTTACAAATCCAAGAGACAGAATGTCTAACCACAGAGGGAAAGGGGTTAATAATACTTTTTTTTTTATCCTGATTTTTATATTTTGAGGAGTTTGTCTGTTTTTTGCTTGAAAATATTATCCAAGTTTCGGGAAACTTAACCCAAACAGACACACACAAAAAAATGACAGAAGATGTTTACCGAATGTGTTTTACTTTTGATTGAAAGAGAACATTTCTAACATGAACCTTTCTTCCCTCTCCACAACAACACAAGTTCCTACTCTCTTGTGGATTGTTTTCTACTTGTAGGAAGTCTTGGAAATCCTTCAACAACAGATGTGGTCTCATCACTTATCATCCACATAGCTGATTACAGCCGCCCAGTCTCTCTTAACTCAGGTTCACATGAGCTGCCACTGGGCTCAAAAAAAGCCCTTCCCCCCTCCCCCCAAGCCTAGTGAACATAGGAAAGCATAGTTCACAAATGAATGATCTCTTTTTTCTCTTGTTTCAGATGCTGCTTTCTGAGGAAGAAGAATTAAATTCCCCTCATGTTCCAAAAATACTGCTTGAAAAACTGTATTAATGTGAACTGTAGAATTCTGTGAACTTTTCTGAAATCTGAAGTTGGGCACATTACTATCATCCTTTGTAAATGTCATTCATTATTACTACAAGAACAGAGAGTGATCATTCACTTTAAAAAATGAACCAAACATTTAGAAAGATTGATTTAAAATAAGAATTTAATTTTAATTTTAAAAAAAACATGTATTTGCTCACCTTTGAAAGATTCTTACTTTCTTGTCTGATTGGATACGTTTGCTCAGCAGATTCACTGACTATTCCTGAACCATTATAGTGTGTTGAGTTGTTAGCATGATACTGTGAGCCAGCTACTGGATATACATTTGAAACAACATCAGGTGAGTAAGAGCAGCTGGAGTATTCACAGAAGGCAGGATCTCCCAGAACACTATGTGATGGACATTGAGAAAGAGATGAGAAGTCATCCCGGGGCAAATCTTCAGCATATACTTGTTGCCTAGATAAACATATCATTCCCTGGCTGAAGAATTTGTTTAACAAGAAAGCTATATTTCAAAAAAAAACCTATTCCATGTTACTTCAATTAAGTATTTAGTCACTGTTATAGACTGCTTTAAAAATAATTAATTTGGTTTTGGGAAACCGTGCAGTTTAGCCAATATTTTAAAACACAGATGTTATCCGTTTCCAAGTTTCAAAGCTAGTCTGTTTTGCAGTTATAGTCCTCATTTCTGTTTAAGGTTATCAAGATTCTTCGTACTTATTTTTGGTAGGCTTTTTTTTGTGAAACAAACCAAAAGCACTGTATAACTACATGACATGCATTACATACTTGTCTGCAAAAATACAAACATTAAAGAGTAAAACCCATCTTAAAATGCCATAATAACAAAGTAGGACTATAGCATCTTATGGGGTATAAGACGTGTATGAAATACAATACAGAATTGTAAGACAATAATTAACTGACCTTCATTTAACCATCACAGTTTATGAAAACACAACATGTCTGGGGCATGCCTTTTTCCTTCAAATGTACACTCAAAGTTGCCTTCCAATTTCCTCCTACACTTTGTACAGAAACTATATGCCGAGATCCAAGTTTGATTAGGGAGAAAGGAAATTTCTCAGCTTAAGAAAGTTGCATTTAGTCTTTAAAGCTGGTCACCATGAAGTGGCCAACCTCTGAATCTTGGGTAGATAATGAAAACCAGAGAAACTTTTCCACCAGAACAAGAGAATTCAGATAACACATTTCTTACTGCCTGTTGCAATTCTGATAGACTGTAGTCAAAACAACTCTTACAATCATGGTTTACCCACAGAGAAGAGAAGCAACAAATGAGAGCCAAAGAAATAACTATGGCTCAGTCCCAACAAGGCAAAACATTCATCAGAATATTGCTCCTGTCTGCTGGGTTTTTTTTTAATGCTAATTGATTTAATCCTAATGCTGTGATTTTTCTAATGCATAGGTCAGGCTATACTCACCTCAGTGTTAAAATTTCTATTACAAATGAAAATGGGTTGAAAATACTGAGATTTCCTGTAGGATAAAATGAAGGCCTACAATGAATGTGTTCGCTAAGGCTCTAACTGAACTTGTTAGGACGCACCAATAACTTCACAGTAATTGCAAAATCAATCCAATGCTTAGAGTTCTGAGAAGCAACTATAGAACTATGTAACGTCACAAGATTCTTACAAGACTCAATTATTTCCTATCCTACTATGTAGGCTTTTTTCTAGTTTGCTCTGGGGTTAACAATACTTCTATAAAAGACTACCACGAATGGTTTTTTTTCCAGGCCTTACCGGCAAAAAACTTTTAGAAACCTGTAGCATTCTTATCAAAACTGCCCTTCTGGGGATGCACGGGTTGTGGAGAGGAGATCCAAGAGGAGCCCTATACATTATTTAAATGTTTGACAGCATGAGAAACCTTCTCGGAGGATCTTCCTCTTCCTTTTATATGACTATATTTACCCCAGCCTTGTCATAACACAACCATTCTTTCACCCAAGGACTGGATTCAGCTCCTTCCAAAGCACAAATGAGCCAGTCAATCATTACAGACCAACAAATCCTCCTTAACGCTCTGTAACAATACAGGCCCTTGGGAGCAAGAGACAAGGGAACACTGATATATGCCCAAAGAACATAAATGCAAAAACTTAAATCACAAAGACAACGCACAAGTGTTTCTACAGTTAGAGTATTAATGTATCAGAGCTTTGACTTCATAAGAGTATTCAACGTCCGAAAGCGGAAGGTTAAAAGCCCCCAAGAAATAAGATTCAGAAAATATACATACTTATCCAAAGATGGTTCCTGAACAAATGGGTAGCATGTAGTTAAGTACCTAGGAAAGACACATGCTTCTGAGGGTTCTGACCATGCCACAGTTACCGCCGCATGTTTTGGAACAAATGGTTTGACCTCTGCTGACAACTTGATGCCCTGAGAAACAAAACGTTTTTTGGCTACATATATTTGGAGATTAATGTTATAAGTGAAAAGTACTCAACCTTGTGAGCTCAACTGTCATAGGGAAGTGTTAGTTTGCCCTCTTACAACAAAACATGCAAAACAATAAAGCTCACCAAAAGGAAACGGAGGAAGAGGGAGAAACAAAACCAAGGAATTTAAGAGAAATGTGATTGCTCTGGGAAGTTATTTCCTTTAATACCAACATTTATCAGGAAATACTCACAAAGGCCAGCTACGGAAAGGACAGAGGCTTGCTTAACACAAGATGCAGTAAACGCTATTATAAGAATTCTTACTTTAGATTTGAACAATGGAAGCTAAAGCTCATAACATGTATTAGCACTACTGTAAAATCAAACTCTGAAAGTATGTAACAATAATGGCTTTGTGTACATCTGTATTTCAAGGTAGTCTGTCTGAAACCAATACTTAGTGATTGAGCCTTCTCATTCCTGGCACAACACAAATCTATTAAGACGAATTTTCCATTTGTTCTGAATTACCACCGACTTAAAACTGGATATGCATATATGGAAGGACATTGAAATGAGACTCAAAGTATTTATTGCCATTACAGCGTTACACTGCTTTACTCACTCTAATACATGCCACAAGCCATTCCTACACCTGACTGTGTCTTTTGGGGTAACTGACGCACTACATGAAAACTGGAATTCTTTCACTTGTCAAAGCTTGATTTCAATGACTAAGTAACACACAAGGCTTGTAAAAATATTTGAATGGTGATTTCAATGCTTGAGCACATAAACTGGACTCCCTGCACCCTATGGTGTCTCAGCAGTCATTTGTATCATAAACATTTAAAAAGTTCTGATGGCCTAAAGTAAATTACAAATAACCGCAAAACTCCTCCGTTTCTGAATTTACCAGGCAGATCCAAAGATACAACGAACATCCACTGTGACAGCGACAAACAAAAGGTGAACTTTGCACAGTTAAGTACACTAATATATATGAAAAACATAAGCTTGGGAGGTAATTAAAGCAAAGCATAATTGAGCAATTACTGAGAATACCTTACTCCCTAAACACGGAGTGCATCACAGGACGCAGCTGTGATTGCAGGCTAACCTCTCACGTTAAAGACCCCCGAGCCTGACCAGGGAATAAGCCCACGTGCAACGCAACGCCGCTGTCACGGGCTAGAGCTCGTGCACCCACCTCTAAGGCCACTGGAACGCCCCCCCGTCCCGGCAGCG